CGAGGTGCAAGGGAGAAGTGACCAGCCGCACCCCAAGATACCCACTCCCGACCATACTGAGGCTTTCCGATGCACTTCTTTTCGTAAGTACGCACCACAGGATGGTATCTAGACAGAACACGTCGTGATGATAACGAATGCATGAGGTGGCAACATGCACAGCACCGGAAACGCAACACCTTATCACAATGGAAAATCACGTCCAAATTGAATTAGAAGTAAGTCTTCAATAACTTCATGGCAAACGGATCACCTCCAACCTGTTGACTGATTCATTCCATCATATGCCTTTATCGGAATCACGATCAGTATCCTGTGTCAGTAATTCTTGATATAAACAGTGCAACCAATCATCGGAATGAGAAAATGAAATGGGTGGTTGTAATCCTTTTTGGGTTGGCCGAAGAAATGTGTAATTCGGACATCAAATCTGATGAAATCTTGATTCCTATTCCCTAACATAGTCTGGTTCACGCGCAATGGGAACCATTCCAATCGATTAGATTGGTTAGTTAAGCTGGTGGTTATTTATGTGGGGTGCAGCAAATGCCAAAAGCCTGGTATTTCTGTATCATTCATATGTAATGAATGCACTACTGTGCACTGTATCTGGTTAGAATCACTTGATCACTCGTAATTATAGGAGGAACACAATCTATCAGGCACTTCAATGAACTGTTCCAATACTGTACACATAGATCATTTCGCAAACTAAATTGTGCCGGTGTATCAGTATCTCCATACCCCCCGCCCCAAACTAGTGAAAGTCTAGCAGGGTCCAAAACAAAATATCACTTTTATCGATGCTGGTTTCGCAGCCGCAAGCAATAGACCGTGGAGATTTCAATTGTTATTTACGTATTGTTTCCGCGATTGTAAAACTAAACCATCGACTTGACTTTTTTAGAACATAACTATTACGAGGTCTTGCAGATATCAATGCATCGGTATCGCAGAAGATTACATACAACCGAAAATCGGGACGGAATCCACCTAATTCATTTTTCCATGTCAGTTCGCATGAAATAGTCAATTATCTATGCATGTTGTGATCGAGGAATCGGTGTGATATAGGGCTGATCGTCTGCAGTGTGCATCCATGTGTGGATATGGGACTCTTCTGTGAATCGCAGAACGAAATTAATAGGGTTCGTTTCGTGTGTCTAGCATGCACGAAATGGTTCATTTGGCTTGAGTAATTTGTAACCCGTTTCTGAAATAAACACCTTCAATCTGACACATATGTACAGTTCAGATTTCTGATGGATCATTTTGATCATCATTTACGACTGTCGCGGTTGATCCCAGAAAATAAAGGACTCTTCCTATGATTCATCATATTCGCGGAGGAACATTAAAAATGAGACGAGGGTGAATCTGAATTTGGCTCTCCATTTAGTTAGTTCACGTTGATAACCGAGGACGGGGGGCTGCATACACTGTTTTCATCTTTCCTGTCGGTATTCTACCGTCTGAATTTATCCTAACGCCCAAACATGTATCGGTGTCACATAGCCCGAGCGTGCTCTGTTGTTCACGACCAACCACGCGCACGCGTTGAGGTTATGGTATCATATCAAGGTGTCCACTTATCATTTCATGTTGTCCCACCATCAAATCTTTAGCTTTTCAAGTGAAACCGGTGCAATGTGAAGTGAAACCAATAAATTGTATTCTACCGGAAACCCCACAAAATGATCGGTGCATCTTCGTTTACACGTCACTGATTGAACCGGATCAATCCAAACCCGTTCCAGTGGAACTGAAGGGATTTCTCCATAGGCAATCAACAGTACTTTTTGAAGCATTTATCGGCGGGATATGGTCTCACTGTTCATTCTCCGCCCAACCCGGGAACAACACGGCTTTGACCGTTGAGCCTTGAACAACATTGAACGAACCCAGCGCTGATTGAATTCGGTCGACCGGTTAAGGAGGCAAATCAGGTCAAAATGGATCGATAAACCGATCATCATGCTCAGCATTGAATGTTGGAATGAGTTATTGCATGAGTGGATTCAGTTTAGGCCCGCATTAGCCTAGTGGGTGAATCCCATTGAGACATTTTCTGTCGAACAGCATCGATTCTTTTGAATCAAATGCAATTGCCTACATGTTTCTTGGGTTGAAAGGCCCACATGGTTCAAGAATGTAGTGATAGAATTAGCAGTATTTTACCTGACTAGGAAGATCAAAGTCGAACTCGTTCTCTGTAATTCCGGAATTGAATGTTGCACTCTATCCACAATGCCACGATGCAACACCTTGTCATCTCCCTTTGGTACTCAGCTCTATCGAATGGGTTCTTATCTTTGTGTCGTTCATAATTCTACTCGCATCTTTCCACAGCCTGATTAAATCTGTGCGATCCTCATAGTTCAATGGGTGCGAGACGTGGTCATAAGAATAGCTTGCGGTTATCCTTTACTTTGATCATATATACGGAACGGAATAAGGCATCTCTATGGATCTAACTTTATTTGAAATTTCCTCAAGACATCGAGCAAAATATAAGACACTATGCGACAGTTTCTTAAACTTGTGACAGATTTCACTTTCAAACATAGGCATCGTACAAAACTAAAGTTCTCTTTGGCTCTCCTCAAAAGTTTCCGAATCAGAAAAGTGATTCATACATTGGTAAGTGTATCTGCAGAGTAGATGCATCTAATATGTTTTCTCGAAATCCCAAAATACATATGTTTGCGCCGTGGTGTGAAGGCTGACACACGGTTCTTTCGTCTGATCGAACTTTTTAGCAGTGTGTCCGAACTCAAGCTGTGAAACTTCGGGAGCTGAAACACCTACCACTGAGCTACCCGGTCGACGAACAACATCTTGTTTTAATTGTTTTAATTATCTCTTACACCTCAATGGTCTAGGTAGGCTTAATTGAACACCTGTTGTAGCGAATGCTATCGCCAGACCCATTCAGAGAAGTTACTCAACTTATCACATTTTGAAAGTCCATGTAGCCAGATTCTCGTTCTGTGACCCTTTTTTAGTCACCAAACCCAGTCTGGTTGATTGTCTCCCTCCTCAGATTAGTTGAATTGTGTAAGGTTGATCGTTAAGCGAGTTTTTCATAACCCTACACAACTGTCGATGAAGTGGCCGGGTTTGCTTCAAGGCATTCACTCTTTGGCCGGTCCTGACAGTTCGGTTTTTGTTTCTGTCTTCCTCTACGCTGTGCGAGCTCTCAGCAGCACACAGTACGATTGCGATTTGTCGTTTTTCCCCTAGCTCCAACACTGCTGTGTTCTGTTTACGTGACCTGATTTACGTGCTGTCGAATCGCCATCTGGTGTTTTTCATCGCTGAATTCCTCACACATCTTTGTGCATATGGTTTGACTTTGTCAGTGAAGTATGGAATGTTCACGTCGTGGTTTGCAGTTTTAAAAACGTGCTCCTGCCGTGTATCTATGGCAAAGCTGTAACTAACGCATTTTTCAAGATCCTTATCTCTGCACACTGTGGTTTACTGTTTGTGTGAATACGGTAAATGCCGTCATGATCCGCATATTGAATATTCTTTAGCGAATCATCAGACTGAATAGCCCTCCTTCCTTATAATATGATGAGCGGAAAAAGTCAATGGTGGTCCAAATAGGAACTGACCCGACGGTATGAAAATCGTTCTTTCCGACGTTTTCATTTTCACCTTGGCACTGCTTCCCATATTCCAATCTTCTCTCTATTCTCTTATCCGAATGGGCTGTTGAAAAAAATCGAGCAAAACCGCCACACAAAAGTACATATTTATTTGTCTGTGTAAATTAAGATTCAAAGAGAAGCTTTCATTTGTTTACAAAGTATATCTATTCACGTCGTTTGAACTAAGAAAGTATCATTTTACCCCTGAATTCTTTCCTTCATGATCACTCGATATGCGTACTGTTACTTAAACACACAAACACGGAACCACGTTGAATCAGTCCACTTTAAAATATAAAGCCGTTAATCGTGCACTTTCATGCCACGGTTTTCTTTCGAAGCACTACCAGAATGAAAAGTCAAAACCCCATCGAAATAAATTAGCTATGAAATTAAGTGGATGCACGAGCGCCCCTGTTCACGACATTCAGTCATTGTCTTTAACCATCGATTTCAATAATCCCGAAGTCCTGAACCGGGAAGCCTTCCACAAACTTTGTGTCCATGTTTTTCATGTCATCATGCTAGGTCTAAGTTCGTTCATTTTTATCTCATTCACCTGCCATTTACCTCGACAAACATCAAGCGCCGAAGAAGCCTAGACGGTGACATGCGTAACGGCCACATCACTACACGATAAAGAACTGCCTTAGTATAAACACGATATTTCACGGACACCCAAATGTTACTGCGGCAAATATGTTTGAATTTGACAACCGCCAGTTTACATCGCGAAGCTCCATCCGAGCACGAGTATTTGCCGAATAGAACAATTTAGTTACAGATTTGTGTACTGGTATCAGACTATGATCCTATGTTGTTCATTCCTTTCCCTTCTTAGCCACTTCGATTGCCTCTCCTCTGTGAAATTTCATTTCGGTAAATACAAATAACGAAATATTGTTTCTTTTTAATGGTGTCAAACTTTTCTTTACGGAATATTAGTCATTTGTAGGTCAAACAAACTATCTAGCGCGTTTTCTCATCCACTGTTGGTTCCTAACCTGGTTTTTGAAGGAATGTTTCTCACCTTCCGTTCTTTCTAAGCCGTAGCTCATTCATACGTAGTTTTTCATTTCTTATTTCTTCATCATAATCGCCACTTTATTCTATGTTCCATGTATATGAATTGACTAATCTATGTATCATCTATGTACAATAAATGATCTTTCTCACGGAACATGTGCCCACAGTAAACGAATCAGTGCATTCCTGACTTGAGTTGAAATTTCTTTAGTGAAAGTTCTCAAACAACTCCGACTGGTCACGAGCGAATTCTGCGGATGCATTCCATGTCACTGCTTTACTATTTTGATCCAGCGATGTATCCATATTTGCATTGCTCACCCGAACACCATTTCGCTGACCTTGTTGTCCACAGGGAGAAGGAAGACGATTTGAAAAAGAAAACACAAATGCTACAAGACGAGCTTCGAAAACTACTCTCGATCGAAGGTGAGTTGATCATTATCGCGAACATTTGTCCGCGCACTTCATTTATAAGCAGATCAACTACAATTTGCACTTCTTTGTTGTTCCTCGTCGAACGTTTTTGTTCCCCGATTCCTGTACGCAAATCGTTCAGACTCGGGGTTGACAACCAGTTAACTTCTCTATTATTTATTTATTATTATTATTTATTTATGTTCCCATTTCTAAAACGGTTGTTTCTGCCCATGTGGTGCATCTAGTCTGTCACATTCAAACTCCATAAGTAATGAAGCCAGTGGATGCACACAAAACTGCCGCTCTCTTCCACGATTAATATCAAATCGAACGATCTACCGCATAAACACTGATTGATGTTAATCAGCATCCGAATGCCGTTCGAGTTTTTCTTGCCTTATCCATCATGAAGGGCTACTCGCTCCTATCCGTCGGCCTCCATATATAGTGTATATATGTCACAAATACTGCAGATATCACGGTGGTTTCTGATAGAATATTTGTAAATTCAATGAACAGACGGTAATAAATTATATTACTTTGCCAGCATGTGTACATATTCCGATTAACTTTTGCGGTGACCCCTAAAACTTCTCACTGTTTTCCAGTCTATCGGTTGTGTGCAATAACTGAAGTGAATACGAGTTGTATCCATGTTAAAGTCGTTAATCGAAACAATATTTCGTAACGTACCGCGCAACGAATAAACGGTAAATTAAAGCTAATTCGACTAAAGACTAGTAACGCAAGACGACGGAGTAGTGCGCGCATCAATTGATTTTGAGCTTCCGTAAGAAATTTTACCGATGGTGTAAATCCCTGGATCGAAAACTACATGTCATGGTGTTATAACTCCACAAGCCGGTGCTGGTCGAAGGTAACTGTTTATCGCCAGTCACAGTCAGGATATGGTTCAATTGTCAATCGTATAACAAAATATCTCATTTGGAACAAATTTACAGAATTCCCGCGAACACGCAGGATATGTAATGTAACGTTCCACTAACAGATGCACATTCTTGTGGTCACCGTACCAAACAGCAACAGTTTGCTCCAACAGGTCTCGTTCATTTTTGGTCGTTGAAAGAAACCGCTGATTACATCTTTTTGCGTACTACTCACAAATGAGTAGTATCTCACAATAGTAGTTGGGCTAGGGCTGAGCACGGATTCACCTTTATGCCTATGAACCGTTGAGCAATACCGGACAGTGGCAACGTACACTCGGTTCTTGATGAACAGTTCGGTGTTATGGCGACAAAAAAGTTTGTACATACAAATTAATCCTTCTCTGTGCCTGAGGAAACTTCATCTGAGATTCGTCCACGGGAAACGGAGTCATCGTGTGGGTGATCAATGTTCCTTACACTCTCAATGGGTTCACTTGTTGCAGCGAGACTGTAATCTGGAGTAATGTAATCCTCTAATAGCATTCTACTCTTAGGAGGCTTACACATACCATCCGCTGTCTTACAGATCAAGCTTTGGCTAGCCAAGGTCTCCGGTTGTTATCTTTCTAAGAAGATTCAACTACTTTGGCCTTGGCAACCTAGAAGTATCGAACAAATCGTGAACCTTTTTAATGGATTATTGTACATAGTACATGGTACATAGTCTGAACTCGGGCGTGTGTAAAAATAATAATAATAATAATAACTCCTAGGAGATATAACCTCTTTGGAGTCAATCTCCTATACCGTCCACCCAGTCGGCTGCCTATACTCACAGGATTGGCTGGTGCAGTGACTATCAATCAATTCGCCCTCGAACTAGTTCGTAAAATCCTGATCGCTGAGAGATCATCGAAAATACGGTGTGAATAAAAACTTAAGCATCACACGGCACAATTGATGTGCCTTGTTGAATCATTCTGATCAGGTGATCGAACTGTACTCAACATTGAATATGTATAAAATATAGCACAACTAGCGGTCACTAGGTCAATGACAAGTTACCTTAGTCAATCCTGTGCGACTTGTGTCATCTAAACGAAATGGAGTTGGTAGATGATTAATCAAAATTTCCGTGCCAACCGAGCTGCTGATCGATATGAGCAGAATTAAATTTACCAAAGATGCAAAGTTAAGCATGTATTGATTGATTTGTTAGCTAGAAATTCATAATTCACCGTTGTTATTTTCTTTCTTCGCGCAATTACATGTTATCATGCTGTCCATGCTATGTTCCTTCCACGCCTATTTGGGAAACAAATCTGCTGCATGAAGAATTATTATTATTATTAATATTATCGAAGTATTACTCTTCCATTGGATGTTTTTTCTCCGGGAACCTGCGATATAACTCGGTTTCAGTGTTCTTTCTGGTAGAATTGAGTGCAACTTTTCAAGGACGCGTGCTAAGGGTTAATCATTTAAAAACTGTTACTTTTTGATGGTTTGATATTAGAAAGATTTAGGTGCATATCTATTTAATACGGGAATTCGTTTGTTTTACTGCGATCGTTTCATGTGTCAAGAAAAGATCATCGCGATACCACAATATTTGAGGTACAATTGATTAAAACGTTCTGTTATCACGTCCTATCCCGCTTTATCCTTGCATATCTGATGAATATTATTTCATTTATTTTTAATTTTGTTGAAAACCAAACGGTTCGAAAGTGTTTCAGTGTTACTTTCCACTAAAAAAGCGCCTTAGTTCTGTTCTATCCCTGTTCCCAGTCATCATATCATACCAATGAAGCTACTGAAAGCTTGCACTATGTTAACTTAACCCACAACAGTTCTTCAGGTTTGTTTCTTGCACGTGTAATATCTCTCAGTCTATTTCATTTTCATTAGTGAGTGTGTATTTTGTATTCCATGGTAAACTTCACAGAACCTCCGATGACCAGTTAATCGGGTGATACTCTCTTTGTACGGGGTTAGATGTCTAAGGTGCCCAATCAAGCCTGCCAGAACTAGAGAGCCGTGAATGTGTTTCGTACGCCTCCTCTTGGTTGAATCAGAAGTAGAACTTCTAGCGAAATTATCTAGATGTGTTAACAGTCTTGCATCGACTCAGTTCGCCCTAGATGCCAACTTTTCGTTCTTTCACTGCTGCTGAAGCACCTCCATCACAGAAGCTATTTGGGGCGCTTATTCTTATGGGAACATTTTGTGACGGTTCAGAAGAATGGTGACCAGTCACAAAACAAGACACTCAGCAATGACGATTTCGGTGGCCGTATTAGGAGACAGTTGTCTCCGCAAACAAGGTTTTGTTTTGTGGATACTTTAAACCCAGTTTTTAACTCTTTCGACTGATTTATTTGGGTGTTCGTTCTTATGCAGTGAAGCGTGTTCTCGGAGTGGCAGTTTGGTACTCAGTACCAATTGCTGGCAAGATCTGGGGTTGTCCTTTGGGAAATTAATGGTTTGCCGAGCATAACCGTTGGAGCCCTCCATCACACCAACCGCCACAGTGGTTCCATTGATTAGAGTGATTTGGAAGTGCATCTGATGATAATTTATACGCTGAGCAAGTGCAATTAATCACTCCCCTGGATCGGATTTCCAAGTCATCGGGTATGCGAAAAACACCGTTTGCGCCCATTCTTTCTCGAGTTACGAAGTTCCCCCGAACTTTCCATCAATTCGTATTGCTCCTTGTCATTACTCTTGCACTATACGGTCGGCCTTTAATCACATGCATTTCACGGGCTTCGGAACACCGCCCAGCTTACTCCATTCTCCATCGCCGGTACAATCGAACCATCCCATGAAAAATCACAACTGCACCTGTTTTCGGGTTACTTTGTCCATCTCAATATTGAAGGATGACAATCGTCACGATCACGTTCTCTCCCACGTCAACCTCCTCTCACTTTGTGGTATTGTCATTGTATGTCGTTTTATATCTATATTAGTCTTCTCGTACCTGACGATTTTCCTCTTGTGAACTCAATGTCAGCTCCATTCCTCGTACTTTTGAGTTTTCAAACCAAAACATATCGAATTAACCAGACTGCTGTAATCGATTGGAGCTGCGCTCTAATCCAAACCACTCGTTTCGTTTTACATGTTCGACTTCAATGTTTACATGTGTGAAGCGCAGCACATTCTGAATTGAGCCACAGTTTTGTTCGAATGCGCTTCATGCATATTGAAAAAACCATTATTCACTGTATTTTGTGCCCATTTTGTTGATCAGGGATCAAGGACTAGAGTTGGTTTAGGTAAACGCTTCAGATTGCCTCCAGTTAGACACGTCATCCGATACCCGAAACTTGTAAATTGTGTACTATGATCGATCAGTCAGGCCTAGTGGTCCCAAGCAACAAAACGGTCAGAACAAGTAAAACAAAAGGCTTACAAGTGTTCGTTACGCCTTGCGGTTTAGTCCTTATTCTCAGGTGGATGAAGCTTTGACAAGTCTTAAATTTCGATATTTGTAGCAATAACATTTGTCTAATTTCTATGAGCCGTAAATCAATTCATCTGTGCTTAACCCTATGAGACTAGAAAAGCAACCGCTTGTATCTCCCATAATAACACTTACTTTGTGGTGTGGCCATACGAACCGAAATTGATGCCTATGTCGCTTTGTTACTCACAAGTAATTGCTATTTGAGATACGAATTATCCAATCTTTTTGGATTCTATCAGTGCAATGGTGATGTCGCTACTCGTTTGTGAAGTTAACAGTTATTTGGTTTGAATTTGGATGAAGTCATTTGTGATCGTCGTTTTCAATGCTCGAAACCCCACCGTACTTGTGTGGACAAGTGTATTGCGTTTAATATTTTTGATCACTGACGTGCGCACTTGTCCGTTTGTTGATGTATAGTCACTCAACACATAATAAAGGGGGAAACCTGCAAAAATCGATGTTTATTGTTTCTTTCTGATCCAATCCTTAGGGTTCAAACGACCTTGTTCACCTTTGTCATCATATGAACGACGGATTGTCGCTGTGTAATTTTCTTGTGAAGAGTATGATATGGCACCTGCTTAGGTCAAAATCTGATGCAGTGCTTTTCTGGCCATTCGCCATCGCATTCCCTATCAGACATTCTGTTTCTAAATGTATGACCTTTGTATCCATCTCGCTTAAAGCCGACA